TCCTCTCCTCTCCCCCCTCCCTACACCTGCCCCACTTTCTTCGACTTACTCTCCTCCCTCCCACTCGTTTCTTCATCTTCTTCATTGCACCTGCTCTACTCCCTCCCACGCCACTTTCTCCTACCTACCCATTCCTCTCCTCTCGCCCTCCCTCCACTTTCTCTCTCTCCTCCCTCGCCCTCCCACTTTCTTTTCCTCTCTCTCTTCTCACCTCCCCCTACCCTCCCACTTTTCTCTTCTCTCCCTTTCCTCCCCCTTCTTCGCTTCTCCCTCCCTCGGCCCAACTTTCTCTCCTCTCTCCCCCCTCCCACTATCTCTCTCTCTCCCTCCCTCCCACTTTCTCTCTCTTCCCCTCCCTCCACTTTCTCTCTCTCTCCCTCCCCCACTTCTCTCTCTCTCCCCTCCCTTCCCCACTTTCTCTCTCTCTCCCTCCCTCCCCACTTTCTCTCTCTCCCCTCCTCCCACTTTCTCTCTACTCTCCCTTCCCTCCCACTTTCTCCTTCTCTCTCCCGTCACCATCCCACGTTCCTTCTCTCCCTCCCTCGCCAGCGTCTCTCTCTCGTCCCTCACCCTCCCACTTTCTCTCCTTCCTCCCTCCCACTTTTCTCTCTCTCTCCCTCCCTCCCACTTATCTCTCGCTCTCCCTCCCTCCCACTTGCTCTCTCTCTCCCTCCCTCCCACTTTCTCTCTTTCTCCCCCCCTTCCCACTTTCTCTCTCTCTCCCTCCCTCCTACTTTCTCTCTCTCCCCTCCCTCCGCACTTTCTCTCTCTCTATCTCCCTCCACTTTACTTCTCCTCTCTACACCTGCCCACTTTCTCTCTCTACTCTCACCTCCCCACTATTCTCTCTCTCTCTGCCCTTCCCACTTTCTCGCTCGCTTCTTCCCTCCCACTGTTCTCATCTCCTCTCTCCCTCCCACTTTTCTCTCTCTCTCTCCCTTCCCACTTTCTCTCTCTCTCTCCCTCCCACATTTCTCTGCCTCGCTCCGCTCCCACTTATCCTCTGCTCTCTCCCTCCCACTCTCTTCTCTCTCCCTTCCCAACTTTCTCCTCTCTCTCTCCCTGGCCCGACTTTCTCTCTCTCTCTCCCTCCCCACTTCTCTCTCTCTCTCCCTCCCCACTTCTCTCTCTCTCTCCTTCCCACTTCTCTCTCTCTCCTCCCTCCCCACTTTCACTCCTCTCTCCCTCCCACTTTCTCTCCTCTCTCCCTCCCACTTCTTCTCTCTGCTTCTCCCTCCCACTTTTCTCTCTCTCTCTCGTCTCCCACTTTCTCTCTCTCTCCTCCCTTCCCACTTTTCTCTCTCTCTCGCCTCCCACTTCGCTGCTCTCTCCTCCCAACTTTCTCTCGTCTCTTTCCCCTTCTCTCCCACTTTCGTCTCTCTCTCCCTCCCACCTTTCTCTCTCTCTCCCCTCCCGACTTTCTCTCTCTCTCCCTCCCCACTTTCTCTCGTCTCTCCCTCCCACAGTTTCTCTACTCTTCTCCCTCCCACTTTCTCTCTCTCTCCCTCCCACTTTTGTTTCTCTCTCTCCCTCCCACTTCTTCTCTCTCCCCCACTTTCTCTCTCTCTCCCCTCCCACTTTCTCTCTCTGTCCCTCCCACTTTCTCTCTCTCTCCCTCCCACTTTCTCTCTCTCTCCCTCCCACTCTCTCTCTCGATTCATCCCTCCCACTCTCTCTCTCTCTCCCTCCCACCTCTCTCTCTCTCCTCCACTCTCTCTCTGCTCTCCCTTCCCACTCTCTCTCTCTCTCCCTCCCACTCTCCTCTCTCCCTCCCACTCTCCTCTCTCTCCCTCCCACCTCTCTCGCTCTCTCTCTCTCCCACTCTCTCTCTCTCTCTCTCCCTCCCACTACTCTCTCCTCTCTCACCTCCCATCTCTCTCTCGTCTCCTCCCTCCCACTTTATCTCTCTCTCTCTCCCTCCCACTTTTTATCTCTTCTCTCTCGCCCTCCCACTTTATCTCTCTCTCTCTCCCTCCCACTTTATTCTCTCTCTCTCTCCCTCCCACTTATCTCTCTCTCCTCCCTCCCCACGTTATCTCTCTCTCTCTCCTCCCACTTTTATCTACTCTCTCTCTCCCCTCCCACTTTATCTCTCTACTCTCTCCCTCTCACTTTAACTTTCTCTCTCTCTCTCTCTCTCTCCCTACGTCTGCACCTGCCTAGAACTGTGCACGTGCCACCACGGCACCAGAAGTCTGCTAAATATGTTTGTTTTGCAATACATTACAATACATATCCTAATCTACATTTCAATGTTATTTCTGTTAATTTATACAATATTAAAACAATCTAAATCATTTGTGAAAACTATCCCTAATGTCCACCTAAATACACAGGACTGATACTTTGCAGCATTAACAGATGGTGGGTCCAGCCCGTTTGTCTTGTAGAAGAATACATTTTGCAGGGCAACACAGTTTTGTCGATGGCCAACTGTTTTACCAAAGAAATGGTCGACTGACCTGAATGGATCATTCTGGGCTGATTGCTTACTGTATGAAGTCTCTTAGTCCAAGCGTTCATGTATTACCACATAAAAAGTTTGTTTTGTCAGATTTTTATAGAAAGTTATTAAAGAACTCTCTTAAAATTTATTTAAAAAACCTTTCTTTGCAGATCCGCAAGATTGCAAAGAAATATAAAACTCAGTGGGAGGAACTGACTAAAACATCTGAGGAAGATAAAAAGAAAATTGAAGAACTTAACAAATCTCTCTCAGACGCCAATGCTGCAGCCAGCAGTGCTGCTGCAGAAATTACACAAGAGACTCAGGAACAACTGCGTGAGGAAGGTCGACGTGAAGTGGAGATGAGAATAGCTGAAGCAGAAAATCGACACTCTGATCGTGTCAAGGAACTGGTTGGGCAGGTGGAGTAAATTGCTATTAGTTCTCTATATCCCTTCTGCATCAGATTATTTCCCGTTAAGATATCAAAATTGTCTTTAGCCTCGGTAAAGTAAAAGTAAAACTATGGACTGAAGTGCAAAACATTTTTTACATTCATCAATTCATTTTTTACATTCATCGAAAATATTAGTGAATCATTTAAAAATATAAAATATTAATTTCCTTAAAGGAGACGAATGATTCTGAATTGTCATGCCGGTACTTCTATGAGAATTGTTTTGTTAGCCTATTATTAAAATGTCTAGTTGAGGACATCCAACTTCCGTTATTTTTTGGGATGTTTTAAAAACTTAATTAGAATATTGAAGTTGATTGGCATTATAAAATACTGGAAAGAATTTGTAATAAACTTATTACATATAGGTTACAAGCTCGCATGAGGAAGCTGAAACCTTGCGCAAGGAAAATGATTCTCTGAGAAATTCAGCTAATGAAAAGGAGGAGCGAGCAAAACAAGTTCTTAAAAATGCTCGTCAAAAGATAATGCAGTTGACGGAATCAAGAAGTGCTTTGATGGTGGAGCTTGAAGAGACCAAAAGTAGACTGCAGCTTGCTGAACAGGGAAAAGGTAGCATTTTTAATTAATAACTTTTAAATGAAATAGGGAAGCTTGTTAATGCAGCAAATTTGCAAACAAATTTTGTGTTTTGTAAGAAGAAGACTCGGTGCGCCTGAGTGCTCTGAAGTCACAGTATGAAAACCGTATTACTCATATGGAGAAGGAAAATGCAGACTTGAGAGCTGAGAAGCAGCATGAAATGGAAGCTTTGAATCAAAGAATAAGTCAATTGCAAAGACAATTGGAGAAATTCCAAGTAAGAAAATTAATTCTTTAATTATTACATCCCTAACTTCCCAGTCATCTTGATGAAATTTTAATAAACTATTTTTGGCAGGGCTCAAAGCCATCCACCAGTTCAGGGGGTGGAGATAAAGCTGGTGGGGAGCCACCAACAGCCAATATTAAACCAATGGCAGGTCCATCTTCAACAGGTGTGAAACAGACTCAGGTGGGTATTTTTTTTATTTAAAGGCAATAGAGTTTTACGCGAGATACTTATGTGATTCAAATAGATTTCTTTGCCTTACATTATCATTAAGCTGCAGATTTTGGCCTATTATTTTCTCAATGCAAATCACAATATTTACGTTACTTATTCATTTTGAAGCATTAGGAGTATTCTACAGGGTGTCCCATTTAACTTGAAATAACTAAAAAAAACGCGATGTACGAAAAATTGAGCCGAGACCAAATCTTAAGTTTGAAGCAATCATTCGATTCTGAAATCAGCAGCACCCCTGCCCCCAGTGGGTGGGGCGGTGGGTAACATTGAAATCTTTAATAGGAACCCTCATTTTTTATTTCAGATTCGGATTCTAAGGACAAAAATACAAAAGTTTTGCCTGAAACTTTTTCTGATTTGTGATAGGTGACGCTGTAATCGCAAAAATTTAATTCCGAAGATTTCCGACTGTAATTTGAGTGGTTTTGGGCGAGGTCAATTATTTATGAGTGGTTAATAAAAATCAGTATTTTCTATGGAAGTCAATAAACTAGTTTTAGCGTAATCCAGAAACAATGACGTGGACGTAGTAGTTTTCTGTTCCCTTCGGGGTGTTTGTTTTTAGTGAGTCCCTTTTGCATCTCACTATCGGAGTGCTGGTTTTAGATGATTCTACAAATACCTCAGCATTTATTTAAAGTAGCTGCTCAAAATGATGGCCCTAAACCTCAATGCATTTATCGATTCGTCCTACAAATGAACGAACACATCATATAAGCACATGTGGTGTAATCGTGGCACAAGTGTCCCTTATTCGTTGCGTCATGTTTTCACGAGTAGCAGGTGTTTCTTTATTAACGACATCTTTTAGGTAACCTCACAAAAAAGGAATCTGGTGAGGTAAGGTCTGATGATCTGACTGGCCAGTGCACTGGTCCTTCTCTACCGATCCAACAATTATTGTAATCCCAATTCAATACCTCGCATGCTACTAATGATTAATGTGTGCTGGGCAACCATCGTGTTGAAACCACATGTTTTGTCACTCTTCCAAACTTACGTCTTCGAGCATTCTTGGTAGTTTTTTATCAAGAAGGTTTTGGTACTTGTCACCATTTAGATTACCGTCGATAAAATATGGTCCGATAAGTTTGTTGCCAATTATTCCACACCAAACGTTAGCCGACCGAAGTCGCTGATGCTTTACTTGACGAATCCAGTGTGGGTTTCCTACCCTCCAAATGTACATGATATGGCGGTTAACTTCACCGTGGTTTGTAAATTTCGATTTATCAGAGGAGAGTACTTGAGTAAAAAAGTTCGGATTCGTTTATATTCTCTGAACTGCCCATTGACAAAACTAGTCGGTTTTGAAAGTCATTGTCACTTAATTCCTGATGCAGGAATACAGGACACGGATGAAATTTATACATCTTCAGTATCCTCCAAACGTTTATACGAGGAATCTCTGATTGTTGAGATATTTCTCGAAAACTTGCATGTGGATTATGAGCTACTGCAGCCAGTACTGATATTTGATTATTTTCTCCAGTAGCAGAAACTTAGCGTATTCTTTTCTTGTACACTTCCGTCAGAGAATTGTTGACCAATTCTAACACAAGAGGAATATGATCGTACCCTGTCAGGAAATCGTTGAGCGTACAAATTAACAGCAGCGTTGAAATTTCTCTTAGCTTCGCTGTAAATGAAAATCAATTCAAATTTTTCTTGCACATTTACATAATCCATGATGCAACAAGGAGTAATGTTAGTTCAGAAAGGTAAATTTTTAATAAATATTGGATTGCCTCTGAAGTACTGTAGGCACGGACTATGGAGAGAGACTACGAACAAATAGCCGGGTGTGCCCTGAGGCCGCACTCAAAACCATTCCAATTACACTCGGAAATCTTCGGAAATTGGGATTACAGCTCCATCTGTCACAAATCAGAAAAAAAGTTTCACACAAAACATGTATTTTTGTCCGTAGAATCCGAATCTGAAATAAAGAAAATGGGGGTTCCTATTTAAGATTTCAATGTTGCCCACTGTGTGTGTGTGTGTGTGTGTGTGTGTGTTGTGTGTGTGTGTGTGGTTGTTTGTGTGTGTGGTGTGTGTGGGGTGTGTGTGTGTGTGTGTGTGTGGTAGTTGTGTGTTGTTGTGTTGTGTGTGTGTTTGTGTGTGTGTGTTGTGTGTGTGTGTGTGTGTATGTGTGTGTGTGTGTGTGTGTGTGTTGTGTGTGTGTGTGTGTCGTGTGGTGTGTGTGTGTGTACATTGTGTGTTGGTGTGCAAATTTGGTGTGTGTGTGTGGGTGTGTGTGGGTAGTGTGGATGTCATTGTGTGGTGTGCCTGTGTGTGGTGTGTGATGTGTTGTTTGTGTTTTTTTGGTGTTTGGTGTGTGGTTGTTGTGTGATGTGTGTGTTGTGTGTGTGTGTGATGTGTGTGGTGTGTGTTGTGTACTGTGTGTGTGTGTGGTGGATGTGTGTGTGTGTGTGATGTTGTGTGTGGTGTGTGTGTGGTGTGTGTGTGTGCTGTGTGTGTGTGTGCTGGTGTTGTGTGTGTTTTCTTGCTGTGTGTGTGTGTGTGTGTGTGTGTGTGTGTGTATGTGTGTGTGGTGTGGAGGTGTGGTGTGTGTGGGTGTGTGTGTGTGTGTGTGATGTGTGGTGTGTGTGTGTGTGTGGTGTGTGTGTGTGTGGTGTGTGTGTCGTGTGTGTTGTGTGTAGTGTGTGGTTGTGACAAGGAAAAAGAAAATAAGTGTGTATGTGTGTGTGGTGTGTGAAAGTGTGGTCTGTGTGTGTGTGTGTGTGTGTGTGTGTGGTGTGCAATGTGTGTTGTGTGTGTGTGTGTGTGTGTGTAAAGAACAATCATTGGTGTGTGTGTGGTGTGTGTCGTGTGTCTCGCTGTGTGTGTGCTGTGTGTGTGCTGTGTGCTCTCGTGCTGCTGGTGTGAATGCTGCTGTGTGTGTCGTGTGGTGTGTGTGCTGAGTGTGTTGCTTACTGTAGTGATCCGTAGGTCTAGTGCTTCGCGAGAAGGAACAAAATTAATTAGTCAAAAAATAGTTGTGATGTTTTAGAGATGATGTGATGTGCGGTGTGTGTGTGAAGTGCCTAATAGTATTTTTTAGCAGTTAAGTGGTAATGGACTGTGTAGTCGTTGTGTGTGTAGGTGTGTGTGGAGGGCATCGTCCAGAACGGAGATGGCCAGGCTGATGCCTGATGGTGTGTGTTTGTATGCTGTGTGTGTGGGTGTGGGTGTGTGTCATGTGATGTCTCGATGTGGTCTGTGATCACATCCCTGCTCGAGTGTCCAGATTCATGAATCGACAGAGGTACATAAACCTCGTGTCGATAGTGTCCGAGTGTGTGGATGTAGAACGTAATTAGTGGAGAGATGATAGCTTGGTGTGGTTGTGTAGTTCGGTGTGCAGTGGTGTGTCTTGTAGATATGTGTGACGTTGTTTGTGTGCTTGTTCGTTAGGATACTTGTTTGCATCGCTTTTATAAAAGAAAGCAACTATTTGCTTTATATTATTTTGATATATCAATAAATGTGTGATGCTTTGCGTGATGACCCAGATATGATGATTAAGACATATCGCTGCATCTTTCTGGCTATTTACTCGCTGAATCTTAGCAACTCTTGGGTCATCACTAGGCCCCCATTACAAATATAATTCTGAGCGACCGGCTAGTTGCATAACGCGAACCCGTTGTGTGATTGTGTAGAATGTGGAAAAACCCTAAGGTTAGAAGCACCCTGCGTGTTGTATCGTGCCCTCTGACAGCCTTTCTCTTCGCCGGCATTCATAATTGCAATCCATCGACGTGAGTTTGAGTTGATGTTGTGTGTGAAATAACGTGGCATTCGGACAGATTTCTGAAGGGTGCTGTGTGGTGGGTCTATCGCATAACGATCCTTCTCTTGCGTTTCTTCATCAGGGTCGGGTTAATTCACAAGGAGAGACGAAAGCGTGTCTGTTAAGGTTCCCGAAGGCATAGGCCCGTAGTGTGTGAGTGTGTGAGATGTGCCGTGATTGTGTTCGATGTGTGTGGAATTTTGGTGTTGTGGAGTTCATAGTAGATAGAAGAGAGTTGAGTTGCCAAAAGTTTATAGTTTATTTCGTTAAGTAATTTTTTTATTGCTCTGATTTTTAATATTCAATGTATATGCCATGTCCCTCACATGATTTGATCGATGCTAAAGTGTCCCGTCTAGATAGTAAGAGTGATAGTGGTGGACGTCCGTTACGTGCCTGACATGTGTCGTGATTTGCTCTGAATAGATGTTGATATATTCAATATCAGCAACTTTTCCCTAGATGTCGTAGTCGAGTAGTTCAGTCTCCACGTGTGCTGGTATCTTTGCGTATCGAGTTGATGGCTGATTGGGAGTGCGCGTCAGTGTTGTGCTGTGCTTGTAGATGCAATGATGAATGTATTAGGTGTTGCTGTTGTGGAGACGTGCAGCTAAAGGGATTGCTTTGAGTGTGATGTATTGCGTTCGATATATTGTGGGGAAGTTTTCCAGCACAGACAAAATTTGATGAAAAGGGAAGTGTGTTGTGAGTAAAAGAGGAAGAGTTTGAAAAAGAATGAAAGTTTTTAAATAACAAGTTTTTTTTCTTACGCAAAAAACGTGTCGTTGATGGCGTGTGTGTGTCGTGTGTGTGTTACTGTCCGTACGATGTCCTGTGCTGAGTGTGTGAGGATTGGAATATTTTCTGGCCCAGCTGCCCATGGATGATAGTGTTTAAACGTAAAAAACGCGAAATCATTAAGTGTACCACTCAGCTGATTTTTACTTCCGAATGAAGTTTACGCTTGAATTGACCAATTCTGGTAGATGTGTGATGTCGTGTGTAGTGGTCATTGTGTGTGAGATCCGCTGTGCCTTACGATTCTTTTCTATCTACAGGATTGAAACATCGCGTGTTCGGTCTCTCGCTCGTGTGTGAGATACTGTTGCATATAAATTTGAATTGGGATTGTTTTTTAATAATAGACATGTATCAGAAAAATGTGATAGTTGTATTCGTGGGGAAG